CATTTTGACTTATTGTCGATGTTTCGTGTTGTTTGACGAAGTCTTACTATTGTGGTTATGGGCATGCAAGTATAGTTATCATAGGAATAACTGAAACGCAAGCAGGAAGTACATGTATATATTCCTCATGAATTTTTAACCACCAATAGTTATGTATACGCCACGGTCTTTCAATAAAAGTCAAATTGGTGCTATCGGTCATTGCATTAAATTCCAAACTCAGAAAATTGCCTAAATTTGGGACATATTTGGGCCAACGATAAAGATAATGCATTGGGTAAAAACTATTTCACAAATTCCGAGTATGGCATGATGTACGCCACTGATGAAAGTACTTGTCTCATTCGATAACATAACGTTGATTTCATTGTCAAATGGCAAACCAGTGAAATTCATTGTAATTTTGTTTTCCTAGTATCTGAAATGTAAAATAGTTCAAAGTTAATACAATGTTATTAAAATCGTTTTGAAAATATTTAGTTTTAAATTGTAAATTCGTTTCGTTTTGTGGACTCACTGGCATCAGGATACACTTTCAATCTCCATTAAAATAAGAATATATTCAAATAAATTTGTTTTACCTGATCTAAACCGTATTGCAAATTTAAAATTAAGTAGAAACATAACTAAATAATTTGATAATTTTGTATTTCAAAATGAATTTATTTTGAAATTATTTCGTCTTAATAAAACATCTTTATTTTAATTATTCCCAGGGTATTTTTAGGGAAATGAAATAGGTCACTCTTCGCAAAACGTCAGAAGACATTACAAAACAATCCCTCAAATGAATTTCATAGTAAAAACATTGTTATTTTGTCAAAGTTATATTGCTAATGTTTTACTTTTTGATGTCCTACATTTGTGAAACGCGGTGAAAATTTTAAAATTAGTTTTGTTTGGGGATGGATTTAAAACTACCCCATGTCTCTCTTGCATTTTTTAAACAGGAGTGGCCGTACAGCACTTATTAAGAACTATATTTTTAAATATTGAATTTTTAAGGTTAATTGTGCAATTTATGATTAACATCTTAATTGTAAATTAAGTGTTTATATACTTTAAACAGATTATTATATGGTATGTATTTCAGTTAACCCGTTTTCTTCCCAAAATAATGCATAGGCTCAATTCAAATATTGACACAACGGTTTGAACAGATTCTGCACAAATTTAAATTTATCTAAATTTTGCAAACTTAAATTCGTAAATGCGTCATTGTTCATTAAACAATAGGATGAATTTAAAAAGTAGAACAAAATAATTTAAATCCTTTTAATGGAAGTTAAAACAATGTATGTCAATATATGAAGGAAATGGTTTTGTTCAATGTAAATACGTTGTCTTTAAATGATGTAAGATGTAGGTCATTAAAAAAAACGTTCAAGTGTTTTTGTTTCTTGTTAAATTGAAAACATAATACAATTAGGAAGCGGCATAGCCATGAGTTTCGAAGTAAATCGATTGCTTAAAATGATTTCAAAGCTTTGCTTAGAATGTAACATTACATCACTCATAAAATATGTGAGCTCTTTTCTAAAAAAAACAACATTTTTGAAGAATACTCTTGACAAATATTTTATTAATTTAACATAACAAAAGTTAGGAGAGATCTATAAAAAATTTAACAAATTACTTTCCAAGGGACAAAAATCTTTAACCATGTTCAAAATTTTATCTTACTAAAAACGAAAAGGTATATTTTTTTTTTAAAGCAGACTCTAAAATTGAGCATTTCACAACCCATTCACTTAAGGAACCGGTTTGAAAAATCACATTTGTAAAATGTATTTTAAAACAAAATTGACATACTATAAAGTTATTTAAAATAATGACAACACTAATTCGATTCCTTTAAGGGCGTTTTTGATAATTTAAAAAAAAAATTAACGTTCATCAATAATGGCCTTATGTAATGGAAAATACATTAAGTAATATCATAAGCGTGAACTGTCACAGGGTAAGATATGTCACTTCGCAAACACAATAAGCGTGAATCTGTCACATAATGAGAAAAGTAACATCGTGAGAATGATCAATCTGTGAGCATTAGATACAAGGTGAAAATTGTTTTCTAGTGACAAGTGTCACGCAGGGAAAACTGTCATGAAGTGAGCACTGTAACGGGATGAACAGGATCAATGAGCGCTGTCTTAGCGTGAGCACTATAATGAGAACTGTCACAACGTGAGCACAATCATTAACGACAACTTTCACGCGATGGTATCTGTCCATGAGTTTACACTGTTATTTAATGTTCTGCTCAGTACTGCCCTAGTAGACAGTTGCAAATTTTAACACATCTGTTATTGCTAAGATGTTTCCTAGCAGAATTATCATATTTTCAAGAATTTCCCAAATGCTGGGTTTTAATTTAATCACATGCTCTAAACTTAACTGCAATATACTTTTTGTTTGTAGTTACTAAGGCAAATATTCTGATGTACGTCTGAGCTTTCTCTCTTATTATTGTATATTTGTTGCCAACGTTATCTGCTGAGCCTCTGCCATATCTGATGCAACACAATAAAGCGATTTCATAATTTTTCGAGACAATGATTTACGTAATATATAAAAATTATAACAATTACAAAAAAAAAAAGAAAAGAAAACGTTTTATGGTTAAGCGAATTAGTAACTTGTCAAAATACTGCAAAATTGAGTGAAGTTAAATATGAAGCATTGAAAATTGCAATGAAGATTTCGCCGCAAATGATATAAAACTGCTTCAATGTTACTCATCCAGAAAATTAGCGCACAACTCATAGAAAAGTTCAAACCAACTAAGAAATTAAGAATAATTAAGAATTATCTGAGAAACGTTTTTTCGTGGCATTCATCTTATCTAAAATGATAGTGCCGAGCAATGAATACTAAATTTATTTATTTATTTAGGCATTTTTATATACCGCTTACCATAAAGCTCTAAGCGCTTTACAATTATTAAAAACATGTAAACTAAGTAGGCCTAAATAAAAATGAGACACTGGGATAGTAACTATTATACTATAGAAACAATGAAAATGGCTATAAAACGAGGACACTTTGACACTTTAACACTTCAGGATCAACCCGAAACAGAAAATGAGGTAGGGCAAGGAGGGTGCATCACAGGTCATAGGCGGACCTAAACAGATGAGTTTTAAGGGACTTTTTGAAAATGGACGAGGTTTCACAATAACGGATATGGAAGGGAGCTGGTTCCAGAACGTGGGCCCATGGAAGCAGAAGGAGCGTTCGCCGATGGTCTTAGTTTTGGTTCTTGGGATTGAGAGGGTTCTACTGTCAATGGAAGAACGTAGTTGTCTTGTGGGGATTTAAGGAAGCAACAGTTCAGAGAGATAGACAGGAAAGTGAGGGTCGGTGAACGAGTTGAAGCAAAGATTGGCAGACTTTGATGCGAGAGGATATTGGAAGCCAGTGGAGTTGCCGCATGTGTGGTTGAATGTCGTCATGTTTCTTTGATTTAAAAAATGAGTCTGCATGCTGAGTTCTGTGCCTTCTGAATTTTGTCTATGTGGTGTTGAGGAATTCCTGCGAGAAGAGTGTTACAGTAGTCAAATTTTGAAAGAATGAGTGAAGAGACGAGAGATTTGTGGCATCAAAGGAGAGGAGGTGTCTAATGGTGCTGATTTTTCTAATTTCGTTATATGCTGATCTGCATATATTCGTGACATGTTGGTCCATGGAGAGGGTGTCTGTAAGCGTGACTCCAAGGTTTCTGGCAGAGGGAGAGAGTGTGATGTCAGAGTTACCAATAGATATAGAAGAAGGAGCGAATGGAGGGAGAGGTTTGTTTTGAGAGTGGATGAGAAGGATTTCCGTTTTATCATCATTTAGCTTCAGTTTGTTGCAAGTCACCCAACGCTTTACATCGTCCACGCACTCCTGTATGAATACCGATGAATTAAACATATTAATTTCCAGAGTCATAAGGCCTTGTTTAGAAAATTGTCGGACTATTCTAGAGCTCATTAAGTTTATCAAAACTAAAGATGGGAGGGGCTACCAATTAACATTAGTTTTAATATATATTTTGTTTTCGTATTGTGTGATGTTGAACTTGTTATATAATACCATCAATGATCTTTCGCCGTCTGCACATGCAAATAACAACGATAAAATACTCGTTTCTCCATAGGTCTTTGCATAATCACCCTTCTGGAATGTGATTCTATCTATCTATCTATCTATCTATCTATCTATCTATCTATCTATCTATCTATCTATCTATCTATCTATCTATCTATCTATCTATCTATCTATCTATCTATCTATCTATCTATCTATCTATCTATCTATCTATCTATCTATCTATCTATCTATCTATCTATCTATCTATCTATCTATATATCTATCTATCTATCTATCTATCTATCTATCTATCTATCTATCTATCTATCTATCTATCTGCCTTTTATTATTGGATTCTGTTTAAGATCTGAGCAAGTGAAAATTTTGTCTCGATGAAAAAAAACAACAACTTATTTACATTTAATAAACTAACAACTCACAGCTTAAAACCACATGTATATTTAAATTTTGAAATAGTTTACTATGATTAGTTATATAAATAATATAATAATACATTTTGAAACAAATTTAACTCATGGTTTCTTTCTTGTTACATTTCTGCAGTTCAGTTAATACTCAAAACTTGTAAGCAGATCTTCAATGCTATTATGCAACTTTAAGAATAAAGCTGTTAAAAATGATAGGACAATCGAAAAATCGAAATGAAATTTTCTTAAGAATTTTTGTTACCGATATATAAGACCCGTTTCATCATATAAATAAAATGCATAGGTTATAATGATTTGTTAAAAAAGTGTATAATCTCTTAAAGCAATAATAGTAAATGTATGAATCACATTGTATTGTAACATTATTACAAATCTCATGTTTATGGATTTTAATAAAAATTTATTTACTATTTGTTAATGTATATTTTCCCGAATCATCTTGCAGCTTTTAAGTACGCAAACAACCCTAGACAATACGTTCTGTTTTAAATGTTTGCACTGAATCAAATTAAAACATGTGGATTTGAATTTGGAACTCAAAGCTACATATATAAAGAAGTTCATAGTAGCGTTGATTTGGACAGCTAGTTGAGTAAATGCTTTTATCATGATCAATATCTCTAGCGGTACGTTCTCACCAGCAATTGTTGGATAAGCGTCAAGAAAGGCGTTAGGTATTAATGTTGAAAAAGCCATACTGCAACAAATGATCAGAGATATTTTTATGGATCTTATTTCATTGACACGCTTGGTTCTTGATGTTGACAGCTTACCGAAATTGTTGTTTGCCGTTATCAGTTTTAAAATTGTTGCAAAAGTGCAAATTAGTATAGTGATCATGGGCACAGTAGATACAACGGGTGGTAAAATATAAATTAATATAATATCTATCCACCATTCGTTTTCATCATATTCTTTTCTTTGAAAATAGGTCAGTAAAGTTTTATTGTATCTTGGATCAAATGCCCAATCTAAGTAAAATCTCCCGCATAAAGGACTAAAAAGAAAAGTTATAAATGTAAATACAAACACAACCATGCAGCTCATTCTTGTGGGAGACATGAGTCTTGAAACGTGGAATGGAAAACAAACGGCAATCATTCTCTCAATAGAGATAAGTGACACTAGCCAAACGCTGGTGACCAGAGCAATTGCACTCATGAAAAAAAAACTAGTAGCGTAGTACGCAAAAAGTTTGTAAGCCAAAAACAAATCAACTCTTGAAGAAATCATAATAATTCTATTATATGTTTCACAACATGAATAAATCATGTCAGACACTGATAGGCCAAAGAGGACAATCTTTGTAGAATCATCCATCCCATGAAGACACGTTACCATCATATTTAAAATGTTAGTAACTATTCCAATGACACCAATAATGAAAGTAATGCTGCAGTCTACAGCAAGATTTGTTGTCATTGCTATATCATACAACCAGAGATTATTCGTACCGGTAACAGTTGTTTGGGTGTCAATCAAAGTATCTACGTAGACATCACCAAAACTTGTGTTAGTCATCTCTTGTTGAAATTAAGCAAAAACTGCAATTAGAAAAAAAAATTAACTCTACTAGTTAGTGGGTCAAATTTATATATTTACTAGTTGATATACCCTGCGTAGCCCGGGGTGCATTAGGAACCTGATCCTGATGGGACCCCGATCCCAATGCGACCCCAATCCCATTTGACGCTGATACCAGCGCAATCCCGTTTTCAGGTGTGATCCCGATCGCGATGGGATCCCATTTTCTTGTGGCTCCGGATCCATGGGGAATCCAGATCCCGGTGGAACCCCGATCCCATCGGTATCTCGATTCCGATGGGATCCCGATCTTGGTGGATCCCGATAGCCTACCGATCCCGTTAGGATACCGTTTTCTATGGGATCCCGTTTCACCTAGGGACTATCCTTTCCAATTGTATCCTGTTTCCCGGTAGGACTCCGATTCCTGTTTAATCCCTTTAACGGATGGGTTCGCGTTACCGATGTTTCCCAGTATACTAAGGGATCTCGCTCCCCATTAGGATCTTATTCCACTATGGGATCATGCTCAGTGCGATTTTGTTCGAATAAGCTTTTAGATCACGTTATTTAAACCCTTTAGACTAATATATAACCTTCTGGAAGATTCTAGATTTAATTTAATATGCTCCACGAAACTTGCAAAAATTAATTTTCTAAGTAATTATTTTTCATATACGAAATATTATACAACTAATTACACTACTATAAATATAGTATATTTAAATTAAAATAGGGGCCCCGGTGGGGGCCCATTCAATGCAGTACCTTTTTAGTTATGTCTGAGATGGGGAAAGGGTAAGGGGGGCTATAAAGATCAGTCAAATAAATTATAGAACTAAAATGTAAAATTGTTCCCATTAAATTCGACTGGAAAATGCCATAGATATAGTTTTTATAAAAATTATCGAACTTTCTGGAAAATTCTAGATTAGATATTCTTAGTTTTAAATACACCAATAGTTCAATACATGACTAAGAAACATAATGAACAAGCTAGGCTTCAATCCCTAAATTTACAAAGAACCTATACCGTTGTCCAACCCTATTGATATTTATATAGCTTAAAAATAGAAAAATGAAATGGGGCCCGCGACCCCTTAGGAATGGATATTATGAATTCAGTACCCTTCGGTATTTGGATATGGATAATCAAATGTATGTATAATAAGTTTGGTCAAGATCCATCTATTCATGTAGGAGTGTTAAGATATCAACGCTGTGTTGCATGACGGCTTCTGAGTGAGCTTTGAGGGCACAATCTTCTGCAAACAGAAGCTCGTTGATCGTGGTATGTTTGACTTTGGTTTTAGCTTAAGGCCTCCTAAGATTAAATACTGATCCATCAGTACGAAACCAGATTGGCAAGCCCATGGTGGAGTCCTTGAACGCATCAGACAGCATTGCGGAATACAAAATACTGAAGCGTGTCGGAGCAGGAACACAACCCTGCTTTGCACCGTTTGTGACGGGGAATGCTTGAGATGATTGACCGTTGTCCTACACTCGAGCCATCATACCACCATGCAGCTGACGGATGATGTTTGTGAACTTGTCTTGGCATCCGTATTTCTTCATGATTTTCCACAGGCAACCTCTATTGACCCTGTCAAAGGCCTTATTCAAGTCGATAAATGTAGAATATAGGTCTGTATTTTGTTCCTGGCATTTCTCTTGAAGCTGTCTAGCAGCAAAAACCACATCGATAGTTCCGCGTTTTTTGCGGAAACCGCATTGACTTTCGGGTAGGAGACCTAGCTCCAGATGTGCATTCAGGCGGTTCAGAAGGGCTCGGGCCAAGCTCTTGCCTGCAATGAACAGTAGTGAAATTCCGCGGTGATTGTCCCATTCCTGGCGGTTTCCTTTGTGTTTGTACAGGTGGATAATTGAGGCATCCTTGAGGTCTTGTGGTACAGTTTTCGTCTGCCAGATGATTTGGAATAAACGCAATAGCGTATCCGTCAGCGCTGGTCCACCCGTTTTGTAGATTTCGGAAGGAATCATGTCGGGGCCAGGTACTTTGCCATTGGACATTTGGCGGATCGCTGTCTGTATCTCATCAAAAGTTGGGACGGCGTCCAGTGAATTGTTCGTTTGGGACCTGGGGGAGTCTTTCAATAACTTTGGCCTCACAATCATCACAAAGAAGACTGGGGTGATGTATCAGCAAGCTCCCGGTAAACCCTACGTTGAACCCAACATCATCATCAGTGGACAGCGTCTCAACCCGGTGGATAAATTTACTTACCTTGGGCAGTACCCTCTTTAGATCTGTCGTCATGGATGATGAAATGAATGGCAGAATTTTTTTAACATATATTTCATTTGTTTTACATTTTAAAGTTCATTTACAATAATTTATCTAAAGATAAAGAAAGAACTAAAGAAATAAAAATTACTTGCTTAAATGACTTTGCCTCAAACCAAATAAAATCATTTTCAAAATATTTATTTTTTTAAAAAATCGGATAATTTATTTTAAGCTGAGACATGTTCAATGAACATTTCAAAAACATGCTTTTTTTTCTTAAAGAAATTTTTAAAAAAATAACTATAAAAAATCACAATTTTTAAACTGTAGGGTAAAAGAAATTTGACGTTGTAAAAATTATATAGATAAATAAGAAATCGTTTGGAAGATTTCTTTAAGTGCGTTATTCAATTAGAAAAGTAAACTATGATCAGTAAAGTCTACATGGATTGGAAAATGATTGTCTTTAACTGATCACCATAGTAAGGAAGTAACTGTCACAGGGAGATATATGTCACAGCGTGAGCACTTTCAAATGCGATCAATAAGGCATATTTAGAACTGACACAGTGTGATCACTATCGAAGGCACGCATTATCTGATAGATTGATCACTTCCACAAATATAGCACTACCATAAGGGAACACGATCACAGTATGTGCCCTGTCAAATAATGAGAAATTTGTTAAGTGAACACTGTCACAGATATGTTGGCGCTGAGAAAAGATCGCAAATACTACTTTTCCATGAGGATATATATTATATGCTACTATCAATGAAATGAACGTTTTTATTTTATTATTATTAATATTATTTTTAAATGAATAGAAAGTAAAATAACTACTAAAAAATACTTTTTAAATAGAACTATTTATATAAGTGACATTAGCCGTGTATTAGTATGTTGTTCTATGACGGCAATAGGTCCAATCTTCTATTGCTAAATTAGCTGAATTTAGCGAGTGGGGCTAAATGTGAGCTCAAAAAACCTCACTGATAACTTTGCCACCAATTAACTAATTTGTTTCAAATTATTTATCCTTCGACATTAGCGGCAACCACGAAGTATCTTACAAGTCGACAAATGACTCAAGGATAATTAAGAATTATTCTGAGACAAGTTTTCTCGGCGCACTTATCTAAAATACTAACGTGGAACAATCCACACAAAAAAACCCAACCAATTAAATAATTTAGTTATCATGCTTTGCTTCAAAAATGCTTTATTAACATTGCTTCGTTTTAAAATATCAATATTTTATTGTATACTAGGAAGTACCCGACATGCATTCAATGCCATTCAGAGAATGAAAGTCTTTGTGTTTTGCTTATTTTTTTAAAAGTATTTTTAAAAGAGACACTATTTATTTCTTCCGAACACAAATTTTTAGATGGTTTTTTGACGCGTAAGCATGCCACTTAGAGGTTTCAATGTGAGAAGCACTGAGATTCAAATTTAAACTATATAAGGCAAGGCCCAAAAATTCTTGCATTTTTTTACCTGTAATTTGTGCAGAGGGCCTGGCTAGCTATCTTTTGTGCTGAAGTTTGTTCACTCATACATCGCTAGGTTTGTTAGCTTGAATTTTCTTGCGTTTTTAAATAAGAATAGATTTAGATAGCTTTCACAGATATGAGGTAATGAACACAAGGAGTTCAGTAATGTAAGAATTATCACTTGTAATGTAAAGAAGTATTGGGACTTCGTAATGCGAGAGGAGCAGGACGGAAATAAAAATGGTTGACAGTAATGTTATGTCACGATACTCATGTAAGAAGCTATGGTCATTGTGATATCTATGTCAAGGATAGAAGTTACCAAGAAGTTTACCGAGAAGCTACATCCCAAGTGTTTTCGGATCAGTTTGTTTAGCATGAATATTTGCTAGTATTTCAAGTTAAAGTATTAACTATTATTGTTATTGTGATCATATGTAAAATTAAAGTATATAATAAATTTTAGTCACTATCACGTGATCCACTACACCACTGTTATCATAACTCATAACTAGATTGTGGTTGTGAGTGATTGTAGTTGTGACAATAATATAATTCTAAGTGTAATAAATGTTAATTAGCATTATAATTGACTGATGTGATGTGATTCAAATGTTTAGTAGGGTGTGGCATTTCTTGTTTTAAATTCTAGCCAGTCTCGTGAAGTGCAGTAAAGGGCAGTCTAGAACTGTGCCGTGGAAGTAGTCCATTACCCTTCAGCTGAATTCAGTTGATAATAGTTTAAAATAATGTTGACATACTAGCAAGGGATTAAAGGGTAGATTAATCTAAAGGTAGGTAATCTTGGTCTTCCGCAAGCAACTCAGACCGTGGTAGCCAAGCTGTTAGACTTACTTTGTCCCAGTACCGTATTGGGCGGACGAGAGGTTAAATAATACTAATGGTGTGTGTGATGTGGGACCACAGGAACAGAAGCCGACCTTAACACCAGATACACTTCAACGACAGCCAGTTGTAAATTATTATATTGTAATTAATATAAGATAAGATAAGATAACATTCTTTTATTGATCCAAATAAATGAAAATGTTCTTTTGATTGCATTATACATTATCAGTACAAAAATAAAACAATTTGAACACGAGACATTTATAATAAATTATTTCAAACAGCCATTCAGTGAGTTCTCTTAGCAGAATCGGGGACTTATAAGTTCTCATTCAGATGTGTGACTTCAGAGGAAGCACGCCGGTAAATTCGTACAGATTGGGGAACAAAAGAATTTTTATATCGGTCAGTGCTCGCCCTGATGGAAAGAATTCGTCCCGAACGGCCCGATCCTAAGTATCTGTGATGAAGAGGGTGGGATGTATCATCCAAAATGTGTTTAGTTTTGCAAAAACATCTTTCTTCAAATAGTTCTTCAAGTGAAGGATGTTTAGTTTGTTTTATGTTCCTAGCTTTCTTGATTGGTCGGTTTATGCGGTGTTTAATATCAGACGTTGAATTCCCACACCAGCAGGTAATACTGAAATTAAGCAGGCTTAATTATAAACTATCCGAATATCTGTAACTATAATCGCATCTGTTATTTCTATTGTCTATATTATGTAATTTCATGTGTTTCGTCGAATTGTTCACTTATAATTAAATATTAATATTCGTGGGCTTAACCACGTGTGTTTATAAAACTATTCAGAAAGTGGGCAGTAAAATATATTAATAGTCTGATTGAAGCGTGCGAGTGAAAGCGTGCCATTTGTATGTTACTGTGAGTTTTTGATGTTTGTTTAGCATTGTAATACGTCAAAAAGTAGTACATAAATTAGTGACGTAAGGTATATTGTATTTAGAGTGCGATGCTAGACGTTTCACAACAAACTGATTCTAGTCGCGATATTTGTCGCAATGAATCATAGGGCGACGTATTGTCCGTGTGCATTTGTTTCAAAATATACCTTTTCTAATGGTTGGATCCAACTCTAGAAATAGTTCATTTATTTTAGGGCCAAAAAAAACGAAACATCAGTTCATAACACTAAAAATAAAAAAAATAATTTTAAAATCTAACAACCATAAAAACAGATTAAGAAAACAAGAAAGACAACCATGTTTTAATCGGCTTGTCAGAAATGTGTCGCCATTTATTTCCTTTTAATGACTTTTTATCGAAGAAAGCTGCAACGCTACACAATTTTTACAACTTACCACGTTATAAGATTTTAGAACTTTGTTTGTTTTCTTTTTTTGTTGTTGTTTTTTATGTGTGGTTATTGTTGTTGTTGTTTTTGTGGTTGCGGTTGTTGTGGTTGTTGTTGTGGTTGTTGTTGTTGTTACTGTTTTTGTTCCTTTCTACAAATATTTGTTGGGCATAGAACGTTGAAATTCCGCTTATATGTTCTGTACTATTTTAGAAGACACTGAGGCTATGACAATGTTTGGTTTGACATAAAAAGGAGAACGTAAACAACTGACTCAGTTTTTCACTTTGACATCAATCAGGTCCTTTAACCAATTTATATATTTAAATTTTACCCAGAATATTTATGTAGTGTTTATCAAAGGGTCACCTCAAGCCTTCAAACCCCTAGTGCATGATTTCCTCATCAACGCCAGGCACAGAAATATTGCAAATCCCATCTACATGCATAGGAGCCAAAATGATCAATAAATTGATCGTGGGCCCTTAAGATATAGAAGAAGAAGAAGAAGTAATAATTTGTGATTTAAAATACACTGAAAGACACACTTTTCTGAAATGAAATGTAAAAATTCATTAGTGTACCTTATAAAGTGTACTGTATGTTTGGTCTGAGTCGAAGGAAGTGCTGAGGCAGACAAAAGCCTACTACGGTGAAGATGACATTTGAGATCAAAGAAAAACGCATGAGTCGCTCTGAAATTATTGTCCTTTAATGTCGAAAAATTAGAGAAAGAAACAGAACTCTGAGAAAGCAGCGAAGTAAATCTTTAAATTACTTGTCATATTTTTTAACCATCATAGACATTTGTAAACTTAAAGTTCAAAGCGATTGAAATGATTCAAAGATAGTAAAAACGCTCAATGAATGAAAGAACAATTAAATGATAAATAAGTTTAAATCTTCTTAAAAGATTAACTTTTTTTTTAGAAAAAATTTTTTTTTGCTTATAAGGAAATACATTCTCAATGCGTAGAAAACAATGGATGTAAACCTGTGTAAAATTAAAATAAATATTGCATTTTTTTAATATAGCTTAACAAGATTTTCAAGGAAGTGTTTACAATTAATACATAAAAGACAAAGGTGTTTCTCTTTATTTTAAAAGAGAGGTTGAAATCCTTTGAAGGTAAGAGAATAATTTTGAGTAAGCACGTTCTTCTTATAAAGTAAGCAAGGAAGATTTTTATATAACAAATAATACATAAATAATTAATATTTTAATATGTTTTATAATGTTATCTGTTAAAATTCAGATAAAATGTTGTACAACTTAACAATTAAACACCTGTAATATATATATAAACACTGAAACATAAAACTATGTTTAATAAATACATAATAAAATAATTATGTTAAGCAACGTAGACATATTTTATTTTTACATACCTGAAGCTAGTACTCAAAATGTGATCATCACTTTAAGCTGAATTTCAAAAGTTACGAGCCAGAATGGAATTGTTTTAAGAAAACTGCTAAAAATTGGGAGACTAATGACATGAAATATTGTTAATAAATGTTGATTTTAAAATTTAAGGCCCTAGGGCAATTTCGAAAACAAAAAAACAAAATAACAAAAAACAAAAACAAAAAAAACATGGACGTTTATAAAGATTCCTTAAAGACAATAATCTCATATAGCAATCATATTATATACAATCTCATATCGTTTAATTTCTATAATGACAAGCAAATGGTTCAGAAATTTGGTCCAATCATGAGTCATTAATTTATAATTTCTTCCCTCATATTGCAACTTTAAAACCAAAGCAGGCATTGGGCATTCGTTTTGTTTTTAATACTTCTTTCGATCTAAACAAATAGAAACATTTTTATTGTATAATAATTATTTTGTATATTCTCATGTTCAGCACATAATGAACTACATATTTAAACCAAGGCATTTAAAATAAATATCTAGCGTAGAAATCAGGCATCATTGGCGTCCTTATGTAAAAATAATTACTTAATTAATTATCATTTATATCTTGTAATCTCCTGGGAGCACGCTGGTAAATTCGTACTTATTGGGAAATTAATAATTTGTATGTATTTCGGCATTACAATTTGGAGAAGGAATTCGCAATGGTCTAGTTCATCTTAGGTATATGTGTTAAAGGAGGTGGGATGTAAAATACCAAATACTTTTAGGTTAAGAAGAGCATTTTTTCCTAAATTAAATGAGGCTTCACTTATGTGATGTTACTAAGTTTCTTGACTAGTCTATTTCCTCAAGTGTTGATGTCAAGACGATAAATATCACACCAACAGGTAATGCTGAAGCTTAGTAGGCTTCCAAATGTTGCATTGTAGAATTAGTTTATTCTCTTTTGTTTAAGCCAAAATACTACAACTTTTTAAAAAAGAGAGAATACGCTGGTTGAACTTTTAGACATACTTTGGTCGTTTTTATGCCAATTAGATTATTATAAATGGTGACACATAGGTACTTATATGTCTCTACTATGATTATTTATTGCATTTAAACAAATCAAAACATGTGGATTTGAATTTTGAACTCAACGCTACATATATAAAGAAATTCATGGTAGCGCTGAATTGGACTGCTAGTAGATTGAATGATCTGATAAACACAAATGCGTTACTCGGTATTTTATCGCCCGAAATTGTTGGATAAGCTTCAATGCAGGCATTAGGTACTAATATTGAAAAAGCCATACAACCGCAAATAATGAGAGATATTTTTATTGATCTCATTTCATTGACTCGCTTGGCTTTTGATGTTGAACTGCTACCCATACTCTTATTTGCCTTTATTAGTTTTAAAATTGTTGCAAATGTAAAAATTATTATACTTATCATGGGTACAGGACATTCAAAGGCAGGTAAAATGTGATCTAGCATGATAGATATCCACCATTCGTTGTCAATATATTCTCTCCTTGTAAAATATTTTAATATAGTTATATTAAAGCCTGTGCGAAAAGCTAAATCCAAGTAATACATGCACAATGAAGGACTGTAGAGAACTGCAATAAACGTAAATACTAATACAACCATACACCTCATTCTCATGGGAGACATGAGTCTTGAAACATGAAATGGAAAACAAACAGCAATCATTCTCTCAAAAGAGATAAGTGACACAAGCCAAACACTGGTGACCATACCAAATGTACTAAAGTACACAAAACATACAATGTAAAATAATGAAATTTCGTATCCTATAAATAAATCAACTCTTAGAGCAATGTACATTATTCTACCATATGTTTCACTAAACGAATAAATCATGTCAGCCACTGATAGGCCAAAGAGGACAATGTTTTTAGAATCATCCACTCCATGACGAAACAACACCAGCATATTTATAATGTTAGTAATTATTCCAACAATTCCAAGAGTGAAATTAACGCAGCTGTCTATAGCAAAATTAGTTGTCAATGCTATGTCATTCAACAAGATAGTATCCGCACTCTTTACAGTAGTTGAGTAGTTAATCACTGTATTTTCATTGACATCGCTAAAACGTGTGTTAGTCATCTGAAAGTAAGCAAATACTAAAATTTGAAGTATAAATTTAGTATAATAGTAAGCATTCAATGTTTTTACATCTAACAGAATAATTCTATATGATGACGTCATTCGATATTTTATTTTGATATTGATAAAAGACATTTAGATTAAATTAATTAAAAGGAATGTTCTCAATATTAAGAACCCACTAAATAACGCACTAAAAACAACAGATGCTTATTTTTTTTTGCGATAAATGTAATTATGATTAAATAATAATAATGCTTTGTTTCATAATTTTTTTTTCTAATTGAAAAAAATCACTTGTTTCAAATTCGGATACAAGTCTTGAAACATTTATTTAAATGTTATTTTAAATGTATTTGTAATTTATAATAATAATACTTAAACATAATAGAAAATTTAAAAAAAATATTTGTTTAATTTTTGGCGTACTTAAATTTTATTCCATTTCCATAAAGTTATAGAAAATCACAAGCATTTATTTTAAACAAACCCAGAACGTATTATAATCGCTTCGTTTGATGAGCCTGATGCTGAAGCTACCTCATATCTATTTTATATCTATTCATTAATCGTTGTAAGAAACCAAAATCCTTAAAGAACTAATATAATATATAAATAAAAAAACAACTCCTTGTATCTAATATAAGGAATATATTGAATAGTGCTATAGAATGTGAAGGTTTTAAGGGATCAGTGTTTATTTTGCACCCATAATGTTTGTTTTAAGGACAAATTTTATATTTTAAATGACACAGTTTAACTTTTCATCTAGGGCTTCCATCATGTTTGCACTTAAAACATTTATCCATGTATGTATCTATGAATGTATGTATATCTGAATGTATGAATATATGTATGTATGCATCTATAAATGCATGTATGATATGCATGTATGTATGTAAGTATATGAGTATGATGTGTATATGTATGTATTGATGTAAGTATGTAAGTAAGTATGTATGCATGTATGTTTCTGTGAATGCATGTATTTATGCATGAATGTAGGCAAGTATGAATGTTTGTTTGTATGTATGTTATGTATGTAAGTATTTATGTAAGCGTGTTTGTATGTATGTATATAATTAATAATGTATTTATGTGTGTATTGATGTATATATATATGTATATATATGCATGTATGTATGTATGTGTGTATGTATGCATGTATGTATGTATGTATGTATGTATGTATGTATGTATGTATGTATGTATGTATGTATGTATGTATGTATGTATGCATGTATGCATATTTGTATGGGCTGGATGGATAAATTTTATCGTCCCCAAATTTTCTATGGGCTGGATGGATACATTTTATCGTCTCCAAACTTTCAATGGGCTTGATGGATACATTTTTACGTTCCCAAACTTTCTATGGGCTGGATGGATACATTTTAAAGTCCCCAAACACATCTTCCCATCCGGGGGGGGGGGAAGTGTGACGCCCTTTAAAAAGGTTTCCAAACATAACTCCTTCGTTGAGCATGTCATATCGCAGCTGGGAAGAAACGGTTGCCTAGGAGCAGTTCCATCAAAGGCTGCATGATAAGAATCATCGACAAGGGCTGTCACGACCCACCCTTGCCTCATATCCATTAAGGGCAACAATTAATCATGTCTTAAATAACGAAACTACAAGGTTCGTAAAGCAAAGCCTATGTCGCGAGACAAAAAAACATATTTCAGACTATGCATGGCACCATAGAGCCTGACATTGTGAACTGAAATTTTTTGCTGTTAATGTTGTTGCTACTTTACAATTGCTTTCTTTACCAATTTTTCTATAAACTCAGTTTTATGTAACTTTTAAAAAAATAATAATAATTAGGGCATACTAACTCGATTACATATTCTGGACTTTGCTCTCTTTTAAGTCCCGGCTAGAACTGAGGCCACCTAATCCATCTTTTGACAGTGTCATATAACATCTTGTAAAAGAAAATTTTCCCGCAACCCTGCTCTAACCCACACAAATACAAAAATCTGTCGATCTTGTAACATTTTGTAACTTGCGTTCTCAACTATAGGACTACTAAATTATTTTATTTTTGTAATAAATTCTTTCTTTACCAGATGAGTTAATTGCCACTTGTAAAGTTTTTCATGTATTAAAACATATTATTAAGTAGGATTTTTTTCATACTCACATTCTCAACACGTCAAGCCAAGATGTTTTTTTCCCCCCACAGTTGTCAAACTGAAAATGCGGTCATAAAAATAATATACGTTATAAGTCTTAATGTGATTGCCTTTTATGTATCATGTATACGGGTACAGCAATGCTACCTGAAATGTCAGCGTGAACTCTCTTTTAAAAGCAGTTACTCGGAATAGTTTATTAAACCACACAGGGCGTGTCAGTTTACTGTGATGATGTTAAAGTTTCTCTCTCTCTTTTTCTCGTTCTATACATATGTATTTATTTGATAATAACCTTGTATAAAATATGTTTTCCATCCATGACTTTCTGAAACCGACATTATCATTAAGTTTGAAAACCAGTAAAAAATTAAATTTAAAAAAAAAAAATGATGTGAAGCATTTAACGTGTCACACAATTTTCGTGTTTTTTCTTCCTTTCGAATCACTAAATGCTTGCGTAATCACTTAAACACAAGTTAATTTCCCTGTGGGGCTGGGAGCCCGAAAACCGTTCTATTTTCTTGTATGAGCTACGTGAAAATGATTTCCGAAAAAGCTGTTGCATTGTTGGATGAAATTGAATCAAATAAAAACTGCGCAATGTTAGTTTCTATGTTACATAATCAGTAGGTTTCTGAATTAGTGCATCAATTATACAGTTTTACGTTTGGGGTCGGGGGCCCTAAATTTGTTTATATGTACTAAATGAGCTTTATATAATTTCAAACACAGCTACTGCATGGGTGGATCAATCGCTACAAGTGCATGGACTAAATTTTGAAAATCCATGCTTCTCACATGGAAAGCTGTGGGTGGCCTTCTCACGCTTCGAAAAACCTTCCCATTTATTCCAGAATGCAAAATGGTAAAGACAAAAAAATATTGTGTACGTCGAAATAACTTTAAAAAACATAATACAAACGAAATGTTTAGTGTTGTTTTCAATGACAACAAACAATGTTTTTAGTGTTGTTTTAAAATGCTTCAAGCGATGTGTTTTTTGTTGTTTTCAATGACAACAAAAAATAAGTTCAGTGTTGTATTCAATGAAAACAGACATTTTTTAGTGTTTTATTCAATGACAACAAACAATAATAAATGAAATGTGTAATGACCTTAGTGTCAATTGATAGATATACTTGACACGAAATGTGTCCTCTTTGGATTCCCATTTAAATGGGCGTGACTAAATATAGTTTCAATTCCAAACAGCTACTGAAAAAAAATCAATAATACCTCATATGTTTGTAGATATCTTTCTTTGTATCAAATATGTTTTTATCATTTGGATATAAGCTTAATGTAAAATGAGTAAAACAAAGTAGGGTTCAACCTGAAAAAAAGGAACGCAACAAAACAACAAAGGTTTTGGCAGGAAGCCTTCGTCAGCGAACAAAACAACTGAAAACAGTACATAAAAAAAAATAATAGCACTTAGCTAAGAAGTAGTATTCATGGGCAGCAAATGAATTGTGACAGAAAGTAAGTGACTGAGAGATTGAATGGGGAACAAGGAAAGAAAAGAGGAGAAGTAAGCCCACCGATATAGGTCGGGACGTGGATTGGTGGAGCTAGGTTCAAGCTGTGGAAAGAGACATGACATTCATACAATGTGGCGTCAATGTTCAAAAACTCATGATAAGCCTGCTCTTCAAATTCACCCAGTTGGGCGTGTTCGTGCTAGCTACGATCGCACTTATTGAAAAATCCTGGTGGTTGCTACTATTGAAGTGTTTGGAGACGAGACACTGTTTAATCTTGTGTAATGTTACGGAGGTGTTCGGTACACATGTCAGAGAGTCGGCGTCCAGTCTTCCATATGTACGTCATCTGGCAGCGGGTGCAGACAATGGCGTAGACAACGTTGATGCTTGTACATAGGAAACCGTTGCATATTTGAAAACTGCCCTTAGGGAAACCTGTGCGTTGATTCTGGACAACAATAGGGCAAGTGTTGCAACGGCTGCGTCCACATGGCTTGGTCCCAAAGTGGGAGGGGGCAGCTTTGATACGACTGCGCACAAGGAGGTCTGTCAGATTTGGACCCCATCTGAAATCAATGAGAGGGTTGGGGAGGAGAAAATTTCTCGTGTGTCGGTGTCTGCTAGTAGTATAGAGCGGTATTTAAGGAAAACACGTTTAGCTATCAGATTGTGAGGATGATAAGTGATAATAAGTTTTGTCCTGTCAACATTGTCGCTCAGACGTTCATTGTTTTGTTGCCTTTCGTTTTTTTCAGGTTTAACCCTACTCTGTTTTACTCATTTATAATGTGCTAACCTGAGTGCAGTCTCTCCCTTTATTACCCATGATTCCTTTCCACGCTCGCTCTCTCTCTCTCTCAGATAATAACACAAGTTCTAGTGTACTAAACATTAATTTATTATATGCTATACAAATCAATGACTCATCAGCATACAAACCGACTGCGATTCCCGAGTGTGCCATAAAATAGTGTTATGTGTAAGCGATCTTCTGATATTCTCACAACCAACACAATGGAACTGCGCTAGAGGTATAAATGCTTGGCAGGATATCCTTGTGCGCACCACGGTATCTGGGAAATCGTCCTGCCATTTAATGTTAAGCATTTTTTCAGGGGCTCATCATGGAATTGTGACTTAATTTCCTAGAAAGCTATTGATTAAATGTTTATGTCTTAGCAGAATGATCAAGTGAGTCTT